CAAAAAAAAAAAAGACATCTTACCTCAACTAAATGTGAAGGAAGTCATTTTTAGTAAATCAAACATATTATGGTGGCCAAAAAAAATTATAAACCAAAAAAAATTATAAACGAATTGAATAATCAATTATAACTTAAAAAAATTATTACGAAACCTTGATATATATATTTGCAATGATTGTAATTTTTGGGTAGAGGAGGGCTGAAAAATATATTTTACGATAAAACGTATAACCATCAAATTATGAAATTTATGTAATTATGAAATCTTGGATTGTCATAAAAAAAAAGTTTAAATATTTGCAATGAATTTTAATGTTTGAAAAAACAAATGAATAGAAGTGACCTTCACTAGATATAGCGGTTCTAATTGAAATAATTGAAAGTTTAATATATGATCTAATTGAAGTAATCTTGTGGATTCTATGCAATATACACGGAGATTAAGAATCCGAAATTTGACTTTGAAGTTCTGTTTTGTATAAATACATGCCGCTACTGTCAACCTCACAACATCTCCGGAGCTGACCAATCTACCCTTGTGGTGATTCCTGATTCTGTGTGTCCAAAGCTCCCCTGTTTGGTTGGACAAAGATTTTTTGCAACTAATCTCTCCCTGCTTATCTCCAGTGACATTGTCTTCTATCTGATCCAAATTTTCTCGCCTTTTTTTCCAGTGAAACAAACACAAGCCTACCCGGAATCTTTCTGAAACCAGTCATGACCCAAGTTGATGTTCAGTCAAATAACTCCAGAGAACCCACTACCCAAAACCCCATAGAATTATCTGAAGAGCTTCCGGTCACCACCAAGCTCAAGATGTCCAAGAAGTTAACCCTCGTCCCCCTCATCTTCCTCATCTATTTTGAAGTCGCCGGTGGACCCTTTGGGGAAGAGCCGGCTGTCAAGGCGGCAGGACCCCTATTAGCACTTATCGGATTCTTGGTATTCCCCTTCATCTGGAGTATCCCGGAAGCTCTGGTCACCGCGGAGCTCTCCACTGCTTTTCCTGGGAATGGAGGGTTTGTTGTGTGGGCTGATCGAGCATTTGGCCCCTTTTTGGGGTCCATGATGGGTTCGTGGAAATTCCTCAGTGGTGTCATCAATATTGCGGCTTTCCCAGTTCTTTGCATAGATTATCTGCAAAAGATCATCCCTGCTCTGGCTTCAGGTTGGCCTCGATACATCTCCATCTCCATTTCCACTTTACTGCTATCCTTTGTCAACTTTACCGGAATAACCATAGTTGGCTGGGCTGCTGTTCTGCTCGGTGTAGTCTCACTTTCACCTTTTATAGTAATGTCTGCAATTGCAATCCCCAAGATCCATCCACATAGGTGGCTCAGTTTGGGGGAGAAAAAGAAAGATTGGAATCTGTATTTCAATACCCTTTTCTGGAATTTAAACTTTTGGGATAATGTTAGTACTTTAGCTGGAGAAGTAGACAAACCCCAGAAAACATTTCCTCTGGCTTTACTTGTGGCTGTGATTTTCACCTGCATAGCTTACCTGATTCCCCTCTTTGCTGTTACTGGTGCTGTCACCGTTGACCAAAGTGAATGGGAAGCAGGGTTCCATGCTACTGCTGCAGAGATGATTGCAGGGAAATGGCTTAAAATTTGGATTGAAGTCGGTGCTGTGTTATCATCAATTGGTTTGTTTGAAGCACAGTTGAGCAGCAGTGCTTTTCAACTTGAGGGTATGGCAGATATAGGCCTTTTGCCCAAGTTCTTTAGTCTCAGATCCAAATGGTTCAATACTCCTTGGGTGGGGATATTGATCTCAACTTTGATCTCACTTGGTGTCTCATACATGACTTATACAGATATCATATCATCTGCAAATCTCTTGTATAGTTTTGGTATGTTGTTGGAATTTGCATCATTTATATGGCTGCGGAGGAAGCTGCCAGAATTGAAAAGGCCTTACCGGGTTCCTCTGAGAATTCCGGGGTTAGTGGCAGTGTGCTTGGTACCATCTGCATTCTTGGTAGTTATCATGGTCTTTGCTACTAAGATGGTGTATTTGGTGTGTGGCCTGATGACTGTGGGAGCTGTTGGATGGTACTTTTTGATGAAGTTTTGCAGGCAAAAGAAGCTGTTCAAGTTCAACAGTGCTGAAAATGAAGAAAGATTTGACTGTGGGAGCTGTTGGATGGTACTTTTTGATAAAGTTTTGCAGGCAAAGAAGCTGTTCAAGTTCAACAGTGCTGAAAATGAAGAAAGATTTCATCAATGAGAGACTTCACTGAAGTTGTAATGTGGGGGAATAATGGAACATATGAATTGAACTTGCTCAGGACTAAATTGCACAATGCCTTAATGTAATGGTATTATGAGAAAGGGAAATGTACCAATTTGTTAATTTAGATGCCCTTTCTTCCTTCCTAATTCCTATTTGCAGATAGTTTAGATATAGGGGTGAGAAGAATCTTTTCTTTTGTAATGTTTTTGGAATAAAGTTATATACTTGTGTATGTTCAAAAAAAAAAAAAAAAAAGTTATATACTTGTGACTTTAGTTTTTAGCTTTACAAAAGTTGAAAGAGTAACAATAGAAATGATGAAAATTTGAGAGCGACGTGAGTATATCATGTTGTTAAATAATTAATATATATAACATTATAAGTATTAAAAAAATAAAAAATTAATTATTAAATAATATAAATTTTATATTTTAATATTTTAAATAATATAATTTATATTTTGATATGAACATTAAATTTTAATTTTAAAATTTTGTCGCATTTATAATTATTCAAAGAGAAATCAAATTCTGAAAAAAATCAGGAAGTACTCCAAAATTCCTTCTATGGTGGGCGCTGCGAACTTTGTTTTCCTTACCAATTATTTCAAGAGTACAGACAAGAAAGAGAAAAGTTTAAAACAAAAAACTTAAAACGAAAAATTTAAACTACTAAACTTAACATAAATTATATTATTAAATTAATATATAATATTATAAATTTTTAAAAATTAAAAAAAATAATTATTAAATAATATAAAATTTATTTTTAAATATTTTAAATAATATAATTTATATCACATTATTAATCTCAATTTTTTATTTCAAACCTTCTTCCATTTATCATTATTTTTAGTTTAAAGCACAATCTTTCTCTGTAATGGTTTTTTTTAATAAAGTTATATAGATTTGTGACTTTAGCTTTCAGCTTTACAAAAGTTGAAATCAAAATCTAAGAAAAATCAAAAAGTGCTCCAAAAAGAACACGTTTGACATTGCTGCCACAGCTTCTTCACATTGCTGCCTCAGCTTCTTCTACAGTCAATTTCCAAGTAAGCCCCAAGAGGCAGCCGACGTAAACCAGAAAGTTAGTTGTTCAAATCTGCTTAACTGTTTTCAACGAGAATGAAAATTAGAACTTTTATTTGATTTCAACAATAGCTTGGAGAATGTACCAAAAAAAAAAAGAAGCAATAGCTTGGAGAATTCACAATCTTCTCTCATTGGCCACATTTTTGCTGAGATTCAAAGGGAAGAAAAAAAATACTAGGTTGATTCATTTTGAATTTAATTGGGCAATAAAATCAACTTCATGAAAATATTTATCTAAATAATTCAAACATCATCATACTTGCATTAAATCGACATGCAGGAAATTTTGAACCAACTTGGTTGAATTTTGAGATCAGACGAATTGAGCCAACTTGGTTGAAGTCATCTTATTGATTGGGTTGTTAATTTAAAGTTGAAAATATGGAGCATGATTGCATCATTGTTCTCAGTTCTCACCTAGGGGATGTCTTCCCACGACAAAGGAAAGAGGACAGGAGTTTGAGAAAAAAGAGAGGTGGTATTTATTGAAAATGGTATGTTTACAATGTACATAATATATATTTATATAATTAAAATTTTTATTTATGATATTATATATATATATATATTTAATAATATATTATAATTATCAATTTATAATTTTATATAATATTATAATTATAATATTATCAATTATTTATTGAAAAGTTATTTAGAAATAACTTTTTTATTCAAATTTGTTTGAATAACTTTATATGTGATTTAATGATTAGTTATTTTCATTCAATTATAAATTGTGATATTTAATACATCTATTTATTTAAAAAAAATTTATATTTATATTTTTAAGATATATATTAATGATATATTTATTACACATTTTTATAATTAATTTGTATTAAATTGCAAGTATTCCAAAAAAAGGTGAGGGACTTGTCGGCTACGTCGTTGCAGCTGTGCATTGACTTTCTTTGTTAGTAGTACTAATGATGCATTAAATTGCCTAACCTGTGCCCCTCCCTTACCGGCTACGTCATTGCAGTGGTGCACATTATATATTGACTTTCTTTATTAGTTGTACTAATAATGCATTAATTACCAAAAATTTTTTTATCTCACTTCTGTTCTTAAGATTAAGGTTAAAATTCATTAATTAAAATATTTTTAATTAGTTTTACATAAATTGTTATATTAAATTTATAATTTTTT